AGAGTGTAAGGAGACATCTTCCTTTAAGGAAGGAGCAGCAGAAACAATGTGTGACAACGGATTTACAACACCCCCCTCTGCCATTCCCTGTTCCCCTGCTTTGCTGGGGAAGGAGTTAGAGCATAGTGGAAGAGAGGAGTGGAGGGAAGGTGTTTTTTAAGATCTGGCTTTGTTTCTTGTTCTTTCTGAATGAGCCATTAACGAATTAAATGGATGTGTCCCCAATCGGAGTCTGTTTTGCCCCTGGCCATGGTCGGTGGGTGATCCCTCCCTGTTCTTATCTCAACCCTCAGACCTTTTGTTACATTTTTCTCCTCTCACCCTCACTGAGTGGGAGGAGTGAGCTAGTAGCTGCATGGTAGCTTAGCTGCTGGGCTAAACCATGAGACAAATGACTTGCCAAAGAGCGAAACACCTGAGTTGCAGATGCAGTGGGCTGTCATTGCAGAACTCAAGGGCTGGGAAGGATCAGCAGAGACTTAAGTTTAACTTGGTTATTCAATGTATGCATTTTTCTCCCAACTCCTCAAATAGCTTGTTCAGTTAAACTTTTGCTAGGGGGTGGGAAGGGCATCGCATGTTGGGAGTGGGCTGGATATTGGGTTCGGGGTGGTGAGCAGTTGCATTGTAGTTCACTTGTTTTGTATTATTCTTTTATTAGCAGTATTGTTGTCATCCATTCTCTCTTTGTGCTGTCCTGTTAAACTGTCTTTATCCTAGTGGATGAGTTTTATCTTTTTCTGTTAATTTCTCCTCCCCATCCTACTGAGGGGGAGTGAGCAAGTGGCTGTGTGGTAGCTTCGCTGCTGGCTGGGCTAAACCATGACAGTCCTTGTTGGCAGCCAACATGGGGCACAAAGGGTTGGGGTAATGACAGATCTGACTTGAGCGTGTTAAATTTGTTATATGTGTTTATTGTATTCGTTAGATAGTCACTGGTCATAATGTTGGTTTGGTAGTTCACATGGTTGTGTTGCGTAAATCCTTACGTGCTCTCTGTATTCATTGCGATGCTGTTTATCACCTCTGGGAGGGGGATCAGGACGCCCATTCTGCTGTTCTGTGTAGCATCCATTTACGGACACAGTAATGCCACTGGCCACGAGGTTAGGCTGGTATTTGCATGTGGCATTGTTGTCGTATCTGTACCTCGGTTGCCACCTCTCAGCATTTATTAGTAATCACACCCAATCTATGAGCAAAACAGACGGGGATACTTTCCCCTGCTTTTTTGCCTCCCCTTTCTCCTTCAGGCTAATTACAACAGCCTTTGAGGATTTTGAATATTCTGGGAGTGTTCTAGCCAGTGTACTCTTATTACTGTGTGTCCTGAAGATGTTTCAGATCTTGTCTGGGGTATAACAGCCATTTAAAAATATCACATAGAGATTAGCCCTGAGGTTGGATAGTTATGAGTGACAGCGTGTGTAGGAGAGCAGGGGCAAATGCCTGGGTTGGTGGGCACCTCAGGTATTTTAGAACTTCACCCCGAACAAGTGTAGAATCCTGAAAAACTAGCAGAGTATTTGGAAAAAGTATGCTGTCACCCTCACAAGGCCGGGCGAAGCTCTGGAATATCTGCAGTACATTGATGACATCATTATATGGAGCAACAGTGGAAGTTTTTGAGAGGGGAAGAAAATGGTTCAAATCTGTCTGAACACCCGGAAGGCACTCCAGAAAGAATTGAGTCAAACAATAGGACTAATTTCTGCAACAACCTTCTAGGCACTTGGGCTGAAGAACATGACGTTGAATGGGTGTATCACGTTCCCCACCATGCACCAGCCTCCGTGAAAACTGAACGATACAATGAACTGCTAAAAACTACACTAAGAGCAATGGGTGGTGGAACCTTCAAAGACTGGGACTCGTTTATCAAAGGCCACCTGTCTGGTTAACACTAGAGGATCTGCCAATCAAGCTGGCCCTGCCCAGTCAAAACTCTCTTGTACTGTAGAAGGGGATAAAGTCCCTGTAGTGCACATGAAGAATATGCTGGGGAAGGCAGTGAAGGTTAGTGCTGCCTCAGGCAAAGGCAAATCCACCTGTGGGATTGCTTTTGCCCAAGGATCTGGATGCACTTGGTGGGTGATGCAGAAGGATAGGGAAGTCGGATGTGTGCCTCAAGGGGATTTGATTTTGGGAGAGAAGAGCAAGTGAATCAAACTGTATTATGCTAGTTGCTAAATAACCTTGCTACTGTATGTCATCACTACTACAGTTCCTATATCAATGGTATTGCAGTAAGAATCACCCAGATTAGTGAAGGATGGATTTTGATGAGACTGAAGAAAGTGCAGTGGTGATGAGACTAAAACTGGCTTCAGGAACTGGTGTCCAGCAGCTTCCTTGAGATTGACATCTTCAAACAGCAGGCTGTGGGCATGTATCGTGCCAGATACACCAGCCATGAGCTCTGGGTGCAGCATGCAACAGCCTAACTTGACACACCATCTCTCCTGCCCTGAAAGATTGTTATGACAGATGGAGACCCAAAGTCATGGATTAAATTAACTCAACGGATGTATTAGAGGGATGGCCCATACGCTAAGGCTATGATATCTCTGTGTGTATATATCTGTGTGTGTATGTATAGACACATATCTACCAAAGACAGGAAAGCAGTGGTGATTAATCAAAATGTATGATATGGGCATGACACAGATGGTATAGAATAAGAGGTGGATAATGTCCTGGGTTTGGCTGGGACAGAGTTAATTTTCACAGGGAGCTTCGAGGGGACACAGCTAGGGCAGCTGACCCAGGCTAGCCCGGGGACTATTTGATACCGTATGATGTCACGCTCAGAAATAAATTGGAGGAGCTAGCTGGAGGAGGGGCATCACAGATCGGGAGTGGACTGGCATCAGGTTTCGGGTTCTGAGTGGTGAGCAATTTGTATCACTTGTTTTATATTGTTCTTTTATTAGTAGTATTGTCGTTATTATCCCTTTTCTCTTTTTGTGCTGTCTTATTAAACTGGCCTTATTCTAACCCATGAGTTTTACCTTTTTCTTCTGGTTTCTCCTCCCCATCCCACTGAGGAGGAAGGAGTGAGTGAGTGGCCATGTGGTAGCTTTGCTGCTGACTGGGCTAAACCACAACACAGTTCTATGAGTGATTGTTCACATGCATGTTCCACTGTCTGGACAGAAATATTTGGGCAGTGGTATCAATCCTGCATGTTTTCTTAGTACTTGTATTTCCTGTGGAGATTTTGAGGACCAGGAAGTTCCTAAAAATGCATATGTACTTAGCAAGCTTAGAGGCATGATCCGATTTAAGCTATTAAGTGTGTTTGACACAAATCATATTGGATTATAAACCTGGTATATTTGAGAATGTTGTCAAAAGTTAATGTTTTGAAGCAAGTCTTTGAGCAACCTGATCTAGTGAAAGATGCCTCTGCCCATGGCAAGGGGGTTGGACTACATGATCTTTGAAGGTCCCTTGCAACCTAAACCATTCCGTGAATCTATGATCCTTCACTGCAAGACCATAAACAATGCAATGTTCTTTTAAAATACTGTCTTTCTAGTATCTCTGGCAAGTATAACACTCCTGTATTTTACTTTGGAGTAGCTGGCAATGCAGTTTTAAGTTTGTTTGTCAGTGTGGATGTTTGGTTTGAATTTTGTTGTAAAAGTTTTAGTACCCTATTGCTGGGTTTTGTTATGAATGTAAAAATAATTATGTATTGGGAGTAGAAGGTTCATGAAGTAGAAGGATTGTTGAAAGAGAAGAAAAATTGAGGTGTAAGTAAACTTTGCTAGTATTTGAAGATGTCTTTACTCTCCAAATAGCAGTTTTTGCTGCGAATTTCTATGCATCCAGCAGCATGAGAGAGCAGCTAGAGATTCCCCATCCGTACTAACAAGTTGCTACCTCAAGATGTCATAGAGTTTTTTTCAACTTTTATTACAGATCTGTCTTAGAGAAATGTAAAAGACATAGGATCTTACATACTTTTTCTATTGCTCAGCATAAAAATGTAGGTGGAAAGCCTTGTTCTTCCCAGCAGTAGCCTGCTTTCATGGGTAGATCTGAAAAATAAGTCATTCCTTCGCTTGTGATGGTACGTTCTGAAAGGATAAATCTGAATACACACTCTGATTTCATCTGCATGCTTCTCAGGTGTTTGAAGAAACTGGGTTTGACATAAAAGATTATATCTGCAAAGAAGAATACATTGAGCTGCGAATTAATGATCAATTAGCACGGCTGTACATCATTCCAGGAGTTCCCAAGAACACAAAATTCAACCCCAAAACTAGAAGGGAAATTCGGGTATGTGTTGTCTTGTTTGTGTCTATAGGAACCTTGTTGTGGAGCTTGATTTTTTTTTTTTTTTTTTTTTTTTTAAGCTAATGGTCTGTAAAATAATGAAACTATCAAGCATGATGAATCCCTCAAATACTAGATGCAAATGGCATCTTAGCTCTGTAGGGTCTTGTCAACTGCTTACAACTCTGCTGCAAAGGTTGGTTCTTAGCCATCTGTCTGACATCTCCATTCATCATGAAACCGACATTAGACCGTGCTGTCAAACTACAGTTCTCCCCTTCTTTTCTCTTAGGTGGTGTAAGTGATAATCATTTCATGTTATTCCTAGTTATAGCTGCATATATAACTATATATTCTTCTGAAGATGTAATTATTAATTGGTGACTGTCTGCGTGGTGGTGATGAAGAATTCTTACAATGACAGAGTTTTGTCTCCCTGCTGAAGAACTGTCTTCATCTGATCTAATGCAACCAGGCATGCCATTTTTGTGCTGCCTGTAGAGCTACATTGAAAACCTGTTCAGTTTGTAACTTCTTTCCC